AAATTAACTGAAAGATTTGATTATCAGAGAATTACAGTCCTCCCTGATGCTCGCTACGAGCGGATGCATCTTCGTTTGCAAGATTTTAAAACTGTTAGTGAGTACAATTCTGAACTATTCAGAATATGTTCAAAATTGACATTGTATGGAGAAAAAATCATTGATGAAGATATATTGGAGAAAACTTTTTCCACCTTTCACGCCTCGAATGTGCTCCGCAGTAGCAATATCGTGAGCGTGATTTTAAAAGGTACTCATAACTCATATCTTGTCTGCTTGTGGCTATACAAAATAATGAACTGCTGATAAAAAATCATGGGTTACGTCCAACTGGTTCTATACAATTGTCTAAAGCAAATTGTACTGCATTGCTTGAAGCAAATACAATATCAAGAAAAGGACGTGTACTTAGACACGGATTTGGACTTGGACGTGGACGTAGACGTGCACATGAAATAAATCATGGACGAAATAATCAACAAAATTATCACCAACAAGGCAATAATTTCAAAAGCTACAAAGCAAACGACAGTAGTACATCTAAAAAGGAGCACGAAGAAAGTTGCTTTAAATGTGGAATGAAGGGGCATTGGGCACGTACATATCGTACGAAAAAATACGTTGTGGATCTCTATAAAAAATAATCAAGGGAAAAGGAAAAGTCGAGACAAATTTAGCTGATTATGAATGTCCAATTGCTGTGACTCATTAGAATGTCTTCGATTTCTTTGCTGATCCAAATATGAATTTTGACCATATGATTGGGGATAGTGTGATGGAATTTATAGATTAATTTACTTTCTAGTATTTCTTTTCGTTTTAGAAATTCAATATAAATTATATTCTTATTTTTTGCAAAAACAAAAAAAATTGAAACTTTATTATACATTGTTAATTTCATTATATTGAATTATGTTTATTTTTTAAAATTTAAATTCAATTTTTTTTTAAAAAATATATCTGTTTTCTTATAGATTCACAATGGATCGTCAAGATACTTGTTTGATTGATAGTGTGCAACTACACATATTATTCTTCAAGATAAAAAATATTTTTTGAACTTAACATTAGCTAAAAATAATGTTAACACGATATCAAGTACATCGAATATCGTTGAAAGCTCTGGAAGAGCTTGTATTATTTTACTAAATGATACAAAATTGTATATTGACGATGCACTTTATTCAAATAAATCCAGAAAAAATTTGCTTGGTTTTAAAGACATCTGTTGCAATGGATATCACATTGAGACAATGCAAGAAAATAATGTTGAATATTTTTGCATAACTTCTTTTGTATCTAGCAAGAAGCAGATAAAAGAAAAACTTCATGCACTCCCATCGGCATATATTATACATTTATAAAAATGGTCGAATGAAATATTATCACAAACCAAAAGTCCATTGATAAAAAAAAAAATTGATACTTTGGCATGATCGACTTAGACATTCAGGAGCTATAATCATAGGTCGAATAAAAAACAACTCACATGAACATCTTTTAAAGAATCAGAAAATTCTTTTACCTAATGATTATCCATATGTGAACAAGTAAGTTAGTTATTAGGCCTTCGACTACAAAGGTCAATATTGAATCTCAAACTTTCTTGAAAAGGGTTCATGGAGATATATGTGGGCCAATACACCCACAATGTGGACCATTTCGTTATTTTATTATATTAATTGATTCTTCTACTAGATGGTCACATGTTTGCCTACTTTCTATTAGGAATGTAGATTTTGCTAGACTACTTGCTCAAATCAAAAAATTACAAGTGTAATTCCCCGATTGCTCAATCAAGATTATTTGTCTTGACAATGCTGGTGAATTTATATCACAAGCATTCGATGATTATTGCATGTTAATTGGGACTGTTGTTGAACATTTGGTTGCTCATGCGCATACACAAAATGGTTTAGCAGAGTTATTTATTAAACGTCTATAACTTATTCCTAGACCATTACTTATGAAAACAAAATTCTCAGCTTCCGTTTGGGGTCATGCCATTTTACATGTTGTGTTGTTAGTTCGCTTTAGACCAACTGCATATTATCAATATTCACCTTTGCAACTGACATTTGGTCATGAACATAATATTTCTCACCTACAGGTTTTTAGTTGTACTGTTCAAGTCTCTATTTCACCCCACAATAGACTAAAATGAGTCCCGAACGAAGACTTGAAATTTATGTGTGTTTTGATTTATCATCTATTATTAGATATCTTGAACCTTTAACGGGTGATTTATTTACTGCGTCTTTTGCATATTGTCATTTTGATTAAATGGTTTTTCCAACTTTGGGAGAAGAAAAACTACATCCTGATAAATAAGGTAAAATTTTTTGGAATAAAATAACTCTATCTCACTTTAATCCTCACGACAATCAATGTGAGCAAGAGGTTGACAAAATCATTCATTTGCAAAGAGTTGCAAATCAATTACCAGATGTGTTTGTTGACACAAGAAAATTGACAAAATCATATATATCAGTAGAAAATATTTCAGCAAAAATTGATATCCCTGCATGACAATTTGCTGTAATAAATGAATCTCAAATACGCCAGAATCGTGGTCGACCGCTCCTTATTAAAAAATGGGATCCTAGCTCAAAACCTAAAAGAGTCAACCTACACTCGGTTTCCATTTTGGTTAGGCAAGGTCAAGGTCCTTACAAATAGGACAAATATAGACCACCAGTTGGTTCAAAAGACGTTGTACCTCGAAAAAGAAAAGTAAAAGAAAAACCAACGAAAAACTTTAGTAGAAGTAACATTAGAAAAGATAGATCAATCAAATATTTAAGATATGGTTCTTGGAGAATCACAAGTGTCGGAAAATAATGAGATTTCAATAAATTATAGGGTATCTCATAAATTATGGGAGCGAAATAATATTGTTATAGACAATATTTTCTCTTTTAACGT